GAGGTGTACCTCAGAATTATTTTTATATTATTTGCCCAAATGTATGTGTATAAGTGTCAGAGACGCGGCGCACGTTCAAAATGGCTTCCCGCACAAAACCCGCGAGAGGGTGATTAGCATCGAGAACATTTCTGTTGGCTGCACCGATGAGTAATCCATTATTGCTGATTAAATCGGATGTTTCGTTTCATTGGGGTTTTATGGGGATAAACGAAATCACCTACACACTGAGCACTTTATTGTGTATTTAATAGGATGCGCTAGATGTCTTTAGATTACAAACTATGTAACTATAATTACGAAAACTCAATGTCTTTTGTTCGTAGAGTGGGTAATTAGCCGATCTTCGTTACCAACACGTTTGGTTATCAATTTTAATAGGAAATTTGTATTTGTTGATCTTTGGCACACGTTGGGAGTGGAGCGCGTTTGTGGATTTTTTATTGTTCTTTGATAAATTGTTCGATGTTTGGCTCTGAGCTGAGCTGCAAAAGGTTTCTATTTTTTAGTTAGCTTTGGTCGTATGTGTATAATATAGAGAATTTTGCGAATTTCGTGTTCTCTGTTGAATTAGGTGTTGAATTGAAAGTTAGCTGCAGGCAGTTGAATATCGCGAATATTGTTTTCATTGGTAGCTACTCGCGGCTAGCATCTTTTATGTTGGCATCTCGGATAGTTGATGATTCTTTTAATTATTAGACGTGACAGTTGGATAGAAGACTCTTCTGTTTTCGTGTTCAGTGTATTATAGATGTTGGCAACAGAGGCGCATAATTATGAACGTAAGTAATTGAAACTTCTTAAAACTGCAAGGATCCAGTTCTTAATTATCAAGGAAAAATGCACGCAACTCTTTGAGTTTAATCTGAACTTGAAGCTTGCGAAACTTATTTGCCGAAGCAATTATTGCTGAAAGCTTAATAATTATTTTTCTAAAGCTTTCCTTTATATTTAACGATCAGTATGAAAATCCTTTGTTTCCAGTGAACGATCAATATGGAAGTCCTCTGTTTCTAGCAAAATATAGATCAACTCAAAAGAATCCTTTATATTTAACGATCAGTATGAAAATCCTTTGTTTCCAGTGAACGATCAATATGAAAATCCCCTTTCTAGCAAAAGATTGACATAATCCCCTATGTTTAGCGAACGATTGCTATGACAGTGATTCCAGCGAACACCATTTCGAGAGAGGTGACAGGTCGAAGGGTTAAGAGAAAATAGTGGATTGCTGTATCACACCTGATAGAAAATCGTGGCTCGATCGGACGAAGGATCCAGCTTGAACGTTGGCCGCCGTTCTCGAAGGTAGTTAGCGTGTGTACGCGAACAATGTAAACTGAGAACGGAGAGATTACGGGTGTCTGGGGACGATTGTTCCTCGAACGGTGTGTCCCGGTACCGTGGATTTCGGTTTATGGAGAGACTGAGAATGCGATAAATGTAAATAAACGTTTGTTATTCATGGTGTTTTAAGAGGTGTTGTTGTTCAATGCTGATACGCATAGGCCTCTTTTTCCGTACTACGAAACGACTCCAGGTATTGTAAGATAGAGCTTAAGAGGAAACTTAGTGGGAGAATTAATATATGAAATAAGTGTTACGATGTAAAATGTTAATATGTATATGAACGATGGCAATTTTATTAATACAATGATATTTTCGTTCAGCGTGTTTTACTTCTCTCTGCTATCGGCGACCCCGAAGCTCACCTGTCGCGCTTCCTCTTTGACCCTTTGAACTCTGTAGACTCCAATATCGAAACAGAAATAATATTAGATATTTCAATGAATCTTGAAACTACCCTACAATTATTAGATTTTTCACACATCCAAATTTTGCGCTAAGAAGGAAAGTAAAAGATCTAAGAAATGTTATAGCATTTTTCATTTTCGCTAGGGAGACTATAAAAATGAATTTGAATGAGCTTGAAGTGACTTTGACAACATTGTGAAAGAATATACATTTCTTTCTGTCGTACAAATTTGATTAGTATTGGTGAAATCAAAGTGATTGATCGGTAGATTGGTCTAGAATTGAAATAATTAAAATTCATCGGAATAATCAACTTCATGGAACATCGAATTAGATTTTATTATTATTATTATTGTTATTGTTATTGTTTAAGCAGGGCTTCAACAGGTGCCAAGTAAAATTTAGGAATATCGATCGCCTGTCCCGGAATGTCAATTAGAATCCTTTCATTGAACGCTGCCATGGTTACCGGTAAACAAGAGAAAATCGCGATAGTGTGGCATACATTCCACTGTGCGCCGTTCGCAGTAACACTTGCTCGAATTTCCTGGTTTCACAGTTTTCATTTTCCACCGTAAGAATGTTCATTTTATTCGGGATAACAAGGAAATAATATTTTCCAGAGTATTATCTAAAGAATCTCGAATAATTTGCTTCAGTAATTCATGCGATTGGTGATCTGCTTCGGCTTTGTTGATTATAATTTTATAATAAACATTCCAAACCACGATGATGGACATGGAGATGAATGCCGGCTTGGACGGCGTAAGTATAGTTACAAATATTTTCGCTAAACAGTATAAATCGGATATCAAGTATAGACAGATACAGGCAGTTTCATTAATATATAAAATTAATTGTATTTTTCATTGCTGTTCATTCAAGAATCATTTTCCTATATTGCATTTTCTAGTCTCATTTTCCTTGTTTCCTTATATATCAATGAAACACTTTCGTATATACATGAATGCTGCCATTACGTTTAAATCGATCACTAATCAATCGCATTCTGTCTTCGCTTCCGCTGTAACGTTCAAGTAACTCGCGTCCAATCCGCTAAATACGATCATCACCGTTCCACGACCCAAGTTCTCAATGAAACATTAACAATGTCCAACGAAACCGCCGAAAAAGACGCACCAGAGAAGTTAGCCGATGTTATTAACACTGAATCATTCCAAGTATCCGCAACCTAACCGCGCCACCCCTAACGAATCACGAACCATCGAGCACTCGAAAAATCCTATTTCCCAAAAACACCGATGACAAATCGCTTCTCCCGACGAACCCTATAAGAACCCCTTCGCTTCTTGTATATTCATGTCTCCCGTGTAATCCGTACCAGTCCCCGGTCTCCCATGAATGCACACTCGGTCGACTTGCCGCGTTTCGCAAATGACGAAAGTTTTTCGATCACAAAGGACTTGGTATCGCGCGAAAGTGGTCGGATCCGAGGGGATGAACGCGAGAAACTGAGGCGCAGGATCGAACGGTGATAACGGGGTCGTTGATACGGACTCAATCTCGGCGGAGATCCTCGAAGGAAGAGGGAGACGGGGGAGAGGAGAGAGCGTACGCTCGTTTTTCCCTCGCGGGGGCGAGGAGGATCGCAGTTTATTAGGGGTTGCTCCGTTAGGCGGGCCGCGGGAGTTGCAGAAAAATTGCTCGTAACTTTCATGGACCCTTATCGGGGTGGCGAACGCGATTAATATCGCGGCGCGGCCGGGCGGCCGGATCATCGTGAAAAATCGGGGTGGCGAGGGATGACCTGTCAGCGTGCCGGAACAACGTGTTTCAGGACGAGGGGAGCGAGATCAGCGAGGCCGCCTCGGAGGGTAGCTCGGCCAGCAGCACCTTCTGCGCCCTGGAGAAGGATTATTCGAAGGTGAGGACCGGCATCGGTAAATGATTCTCGTTAGGGAGTGATTCAGGGGATGTACAGGGTGTTTCAGAGTTAACTGCGGCTGTTATTGAAGGGTTTAGTGGAGATTGGCAGCGTAGTAACTGTTTTGGTGATTATTCAACCCTTTGCGCTCGGGAGTTTTTCAATAGAAATGTTTTAACACTTTCTGATGAGATAGAATCGATATAACAAAGCTGTTTTATTTGAATATTTCTCAAAATGTTGCGTTATAGGAAATGTAATATTAAATATAAAATTTTATAGTTTTACTGTATGGAATCAAGTGGCGAGTGAGAGTCACCCCTCGAGTGCAAAGGGTTAATGGAATGTGATTGTTATGCAATTATTGTTTTCCTTGATGCAATTAATAAACAAAAGTTATCGAGATTTAAAGATTTCTCGGTGAACTGTTCAATAGCAGCAATTGCGGTCTTGAGGAACGATATCATCTTGAATGATGTAATCTGACCGCTGTTCCTCGGAACTAATGGAAAGCTTAGTTTTTAAAGAAAGTAATATCGTACAGATTGCGGAGCTGTTGAGAGAATGGAGGGAATACTGCGACTAGAGGACCGACATCTAATTTTCCGCGGAACAGTAGCGGCGAAACTAACGAGAAGGAGGGCTCGTGACGTTCGGGTCAAGGATTTAGCTCAGATTTTGCATATAGATAGCGGCACGCCGTGCTGTAACAAGGTGTTAAGCGTGTAGGGCGCATTTATAATTTCGTGGGAGAATCGAGTTTAAAGTATAGGACAACTTACATGCAAAATTTGAACTGAATCGCCGACCCGATTGCCGTACAAGTTCTAACTAGTTATGATTTGTTTCTTCTGTCTTCGAAATTTCTACTATTACCGGAGGATAAAGTTTTAACTCAAGAACTCCGACGATCTTGATACTATTTCGATTAACGAGGACGTCGAAATTTTGTCGATCACTCATCATTATTCACTTCAAAAGGATATTCAGTATAATTAAACAATTCAATGTTCTCCGATTAATTTAGATATTCCTAATCTGTAATTTTCCAATTATTCTAATTACGTTTCATCAACACTAGGTTCACGGTTCATTCTACACTTGATTCTGTAAAAAGTTTATAAGAAAATATACACCATCGTATTTATTTTCTCTTATTTAATTGTTCGTTTCGTCGAAGTTCAGCCGCGGTTCGACGACTGATTCCATTAAATGATTCTCGATAATGATTCTCCTTCCGTGGCAAGTGTCTTCCATTTTTCCGCCTCGCCGGTGCTGCGTCTTCGTCGCGAGGCAATAAATAGTTTAGCAATTAAAGGAAGTTCCGTCGGCTCGCCGGACTTCGAAAACTTCATTTATTAATTAACGGTATCGGGTGACTCGGCAGTCGATCATCTCGTTCTTCCAGGTTCTGAGGGACATGAAAAGCAACGAGGCGTTGGCTGCTTATTTCAACGAGTACACCAGACTGTTCGAGTCCCTGTACAAAGCGCATCGGGTGGAAAAGGAGCTGTTGGAGAAATGTGACACGCTGCAGGTACAATTAACGCGCGTCTCGATTCACTTGTATCCTGCTCCTTCGTAGATTCCGCGTGAAATGTGTCCTTAATGTTGGATTTATCTGTACACTCGTTACATAAAGATACAAAACGAATAAATTAATAATACACGAATGTACCAACGAATTAGGGTGTCAAGCTTAACCCTAGAACTAAAGAAACTTTCCAATTGAAAACAGTCATGAAAACTGACTATAGCAACAGAAGTAATTACTAATAGTGTAACTTAACGATGGTACTAAATTGTTAGTAATCCATAATTCTAACAACATAATTATAATTCGCCCTTGTCACGAAGGAGTAGATAATATGATACGAGATCCTGAAAGTTCCTACATTAAATTTCTACGAAGACCGATCGAAATTTCAGGCCCAGGTCGAAGAGAACGAGGAGGCGGTGGACGAGTTCACGAGGACGATCTCCAGCAACAACGAGGAGATCGAGAAGCTGAAGCTGGAGATCGTGGACGCGATCAAGCGGGCGGACGCCGCGCACACGCGCGAATTGAACGCACAGGAGGTGATTGAGAACCTGCGGCTGAACGTGACGCAGCTGAATCAGGAGATCCAGCAAAAGAATAGGCAGCTCGCTGCCAGCGAAGAGTAAGTTCCCCGTGGAAAGGTAACGTCCTCGAAGAATTTTCGACTTTCGGAAGACAGTGATAAAATCCAAATCAACATGATTCCACTTTTATTGTCCAGAAATCTTGCAACTAAAGTGAACACCTTAGATACAGCACACTAGCAGGATGCTGTGTAAACAATCTTTCATTGCATAGAATACTTTATAACTTCAGAATTATTTCACTCGTTTGTCTAAGTCAGAAAGCCTTTCATTTCACAGCTCTGAATATCCTATACTCATTTCAGAAGCGAAAACATGGATTTTCCCAATTCTTCTTTTCCGAACTTAATTGCATTGTCTTCCGAGCGAATTTCATTGAAATAAAAGAAGCTTGTTCAAGACTCGACCCGGTAGAACGGGCTCCGCGAAATCCCGAATTTTTCCGTTCCCCGAGCCCGAGTTAATTAAATACGCGACACATTTACGGATTAGCGGAGCATCCTTTGCGAGCGCGGCCCGGATCAAACGATTCGAGGATTCCGTTGGGAATCCTTCAAAGCCACAATTCCCTGTCGCGTGGCTGGAACTCCGGAGTGTTTTCGAGCGGCCGGGGGATTTCATTTCCATCAAAGGCGCCTGGATCTTCGGATTAATTCGGTTCGATGTTATCGGTGGCTCGCCGGACGTGAGCATGCATCCCTCCGATCCGCGAATAAAACCCTGACAGCCCTCGGTAACGCGCGCCACTCTTTCACACGTTTTTGTCTGGGTATTCAACCTCTTAACCCTTTGCACTTCGAACTTCTCTCGCAGTTTCTTTTAGCTCGTGTTATTAGAACTCTGTATTAGAAACGTTTCATTTGAAACGCACTTTGAAAAATAGTTTGCTAGGTAACGTTAGTTAGGTAAAAGATCTCTTTTTATTAACCCTTAATGGTTGTAAGTCACCTCGCGTGGCAACAGTACTATCACCATAGTTCGCACAATTGAACCATGATTATTTGGAAACATTTCTATTTTATAAATAATACTTGTGGCGACATTCAGCTAGACGAGCCTGCAATAATAATGCAATTCCTGCAGAGATACAGATGAAATTTTCTTAGATTGAATTAAGAAATCTCACATGCATCGAGGAAGAGAACCATTTTCTTTCAATATTTCGTACGTTGATGCACTGTACAAAGTTTAATATTAAATATCAAACTTCACAGTTCTGCTGTGTCAAATCATTTGGTGATCAGAGGCGCGTCACCGCGTTAACATGTGATTCCATAATAAAAGTAATCCGTACAACACGCGAGCACCACAATTTCAATCGCGGATGTTTCACCGATACGAAGCGTTCGTATTCAAAGATCGAAAGATCTCGCGCGTTGCATTAAAGGGGTGGCGGCGGATTTCCGGCGAAGAATACGTATCTCCTTCGCGTTCGAAAAGCTGTCAGTTCGTAGACGACGTTCTACGTTATCAGGGTAAACGACGTCGTCATCGGTGCGCTGTTCGTGTGTGTGCACCGTGATCCCATTGGAGGTACAAGGATGTCCGGAGTGTAATCCTCGCAGGAGGAGAGCAGCGCGTCTCCGTTTAGTCAACACGATCGGGCCGCAATTCCGTTCTAACGTTGATCGCAGCTTGCGCCCTGGTAGCTCATAAAGATGTTGCGCTTCGTTTCCCCCCGGGCTCGCCGCGACAAAGGACCGCCGCCGGCTGCCTTCGGCGTCCGTGCAACGACACGCCGCGGAATCCATTAAAACACAAGGCGGATCCCGTTGCTCGGCCGAACCTCCGCAATTGCGTTAAAATGGCGTCTCCCTTTCTTAACGCCCTGTCGCGCGGCAGCTTATTAACCCTTTGCACTCGGAAGTTTTTCGTTAGAAATATTTTAACATCTGATGAGATAAAGATATTTTGTGAAACTAACTTGAAGAGAAATCATAATGTGTATTGGGGAACAAAGCTATTTTATTTCAATATTTCTCAAATTGATGTGTTGTGTAAGGTATGGTATTAAATATCAAATTTTATAGTTTTACAGTGTGAAATCAGGTGGTGAGTGAGAGTTAACCCTTTGCGGACGAAGTTTCTTTGGAGTATACAGAACCTTCTGCGGATTTCAAGTTACACAATCGGATGGTTAACCCTTTGAACTCTGTAGGCTCCAATATTGCACCAGTTATAATACTAAATTGATGAAAGTTTGATGTCGGCAAACGGTTGATCCTTTGTCGACGAAGACTCGAAGCATAGAAAAACTTCAGCAGATGAATTATATATCGGTGGCTTAAACAATAGGTAAAACAGAAATTGTGATCTGTTGTTTGAGTAATTAAATCATTTGCTTCAGGTTAGTCCTCGAAATATGAACGTTTCACTTCATTGTAATATCGACGTCCGTTCGCGAAGGGTTAATTAACGGATCTTAGCAAGTATTCGAGACATCGAGAGAACGATTGTTTCTATTTTAGCAGTGACCTTAATTGCGAGAATCGCAGTGTAACGCTTGCAGCGAGGATAGTCACTTGGAATGTTATAAGTAGATTAAACTTCTAATTGCTGTCGAAAATGGTGACTGCGAAATCTTTTACGAAATCCTTAGCTGTTAAGCATTGGCCTCTTTGGACGTTCTGTTCCCTGCATTTACATTTAAAGATTGAAGTTCGCCGCTGCGACTTTTTTCTGTTCATCCCCAGGCTTCTGGGCTGAATTTTGAAGGACCGAAGTTTCTTATGAATTTCCTGCGCGCCCGTGGAACGGGGCCGTAGCACAGAATCAATGTGGACCTTTAGGGAAATTTTCTCGCTTTTACATACGCTATCCTCAAATCTTCCGAGCCACGGACGCGTTAAATATGCAGCCGTGTTCCTCGGCTTTGAATACGCAACAACCTTGCACTCCCGTCTCTTTAAACTCGACTGTTTAGCGTGCTTTCGAGGCGACAGTAACATTTTCGCCCGCGATTCCTTGCTTCAAATATGTAAGAGAACGGCGCGTCTCTTCCGAATTCTGTTGAAGGCCGACCGATCAATTGATTTAACGCTAGATTACCAGACAGTGTTAATTTTTATATTAAGATTCTTATTTCGCCATAATTTAGATAAAAAAGGCGCTTTCGTGGGAAATTTCGAAGTAAATTCTTGCATTTAATTAACACTAGATTACCAGACAAGTCAAAATGCGACTTCGATATTATTATTTCGCCATAATTTAGGTGACAAAGACGCCTTCGTGAGAAATTTCAAAGTAAATTCTTGCATTCGTGCGAGTGCATAAGCCCTTCGAATTAGCTTTCCTAATTTTCATAACAAATTAATAGCTCAGTAGTTTCAGTCTTATAGAATTGAAGCAAGTCTCATACAAAATCAAGTATATATTTAACATCCACGAGACGTCGGTACGTTACTCTACTAATAAATTATCAATTCAATTTCTAATTGAAAACGCAGTTCGACAGTTCAATAGCTGCAAATAATATTGCCATCCGCGCACCAATCTTCGTTCGAAGAAATAAAGCCGAAGGACCAGCTTCGTTAGAAGGAATAAAATCGGAATTTATGCACAACAGCGATATTAAGCTGGCCGTATTTCATTCGAGGAAACAAAGGCACTCCGTGTAGCGCGTAGCCGCCTTAAAACTCTTTCTGTCGGCCAGAAATTCAGTAATCCGCCGTAATTTATAGCGTGAGCGCGACGAAGCAGAAGGAGAACCTGATGAAGGAGAAGGAGAAGCTGACGAGCGAGATGGATACGCTCAGGCAGCGTCTGAAGAACGTGTCGCTCTACACGGACGAACTGGAGGCGAGGAACGTCGAGTGCGAACAGCAGATCACCGAAATGAGGGAGAACATCGACACGCAGCTCAGCGAGATCTCGAAAGAGCGGAGGGCGAGGCAGAGGGCGGAGGACGAGCTGCACCAGCTGCAGGAGGAGCTCGCCGCGACGACCAACGATCTCGAGGTGAGCGGATCATAAATAAGTTTCAGGCTCGTCACGGTGCAAACGCCGGCTTAATGTACAGCCTAATCGCAACGGACGTGACTTTACAAGCGAACCATGGGATCCGATCCCTTCCCTCGTTGCACGTTACTTTTCATCTCGCGTAATATTTATGAGTAACTCGTACATCGATGATGATCGCGAGACACGAAGCGTCTCTTGTGGCTGTGTCGAAGTTGTTCTTACTATTTCTTACGAAGGTAGACTAGTTTTCTATAGTCTTATGTAGTTTCGTGTGGTTTTATATGGTTTTATATAGTTTTATATAGTTTTATATTGTATTTCACCTTTTTATATTGTTTTAAACAGTTTTATATCAGAATTTCAGCTGCATGGGAAGCTTGAATTCGATTGTTTGATCGGATAGCTTTAGGGTTGATTTGATGAATATTAACCCTTTGCACTCGAAAGTTTTTCATTAGAAATATCCAACATTTTCCAGCGAGATATAGACGATATTGTTTGAAACATTTGCGTGAATCATTTGCATCCCCTAATATCTGGACCAAGAGTCCTGCGACACGCGACGTAAGACTATGCCGACATCTTGGATTTGGAACAGGGAATTACAGACCTGCTTTACCGATAGCTGACAACCCCTTTCGTTCGACAGATAAATTTCGATCCTCCATTTTGTAATTTTTTCATGTGTAAGAACATTGATGTACCTTCTTATATACTTTCAGAATAATTACCTTGTTTCTTTAACTTTTTGAAAAATTTGTTAAGCTAGTGTAATAGGTTAATGATGTTTACAGATGTTCCCAGCGTTCGCATTTTAATTATAAAACAACGCAGAACCATCAGCATTTTTAATCGGATCGCATAAAATCGAAGTCTAATGAAACCGTGACCCGATTGAGATCGAAAAAGTCTCCCGCGCGTGCTCGGCGAGTTATTCCAGCGATTTTGTTTAAAATTCAATCGTTTCGGCCAATTATCGCGGATACACTCGGACGCGGCGAAAATTCGCGGACTGTTCGATTTTCCGGGGAATTCCGGGTTCCTCGGAGGCATCGTATCCGCGGAATGCGTTGCGTTCCCCATTTTCAGCAAGATTCAATGCTGCCGGACACGAATTGCTCGGATTCAAATCCGCAAGCCACGTTTGCACAATGCGCCGGCTTCGGGCTTGTTTGTTTTGTAAACAGCGAGATTCGGGGAGCGTCCCGCGATTAACGCGAGCAGGTCGTTATAATAAAACAGTGCCCGGCGCACAATTGTACTGTCAGCTACTTATCTGAGGAAAGTTTAGGTGACTGCTTAAAATGGCCTCATGAATGTTCGCCGCCAGTTTATTCCGTGCAAACCAGCCAACTTAATGAACACGTCAAAGCAAATAAGTATTTACGTTTCGCAGCAGCTTCGCGGGAGACTTAAAATTCTCCGTGGAAATTCTATAACTTCGGTGTTCCCTTACTTTTTAATATTTTCTGTTCGTACACCCGTTATTGTAATTTAGAATATCTTCTATTTATATATTCTGTATAATACGTTCCATGATACTTCCTATTTATACGTTCTATAAGATTTCTATTTTCCACGAGCAACATTTCCTTCAGCGATAACTCGGCAAAATTACTTTCAATCCGTTCCGAGTTCCCTCGAACTCTCTCGGAATTCTGTTCAGCTTTTTCCGAATTTTCCCGGAATTTCCGTCCGCATTTCTTCGGAATTCTTTCCGCTCGGAAGAGCGTGCGGCTCGAGGAACAGAGTATCAGCCTCGAGGTTGCATCACGGGAATCGACGGAATCGCTCGATGACGTTCAAGTGTGTATGGAAAAGTTCAATAAGTTTCCCCGAACGGTAATAGAAACGAAACGACGCCGCGATAGCGGGTCCCGTCGCGGAATTCCAAGGAACGGAATTTGGACCGCTCGAATGGGAAGTTTCATCGCGGAAGCTTATCGAGCAGTTTTACGAGAATGGATGTCATAGACGTCATGAAAGTGAATTGACAGTTTGAAGACAATTTATGAGCACTCTTTGTTCGGAAACGTTGGTTAGATGTGCTTCTGCTCTTTGGACCTTACCACGTCTTTATGTACGTCGTTGATGATTGCTGTTCGATGACGAATGTCAGAGACGTTTGGTTAATTAGGAGACGAATAAGGAATAAATTTCTTCGTTAGCATCTAATATTTCTGTCATCTGATACTAACACCTAATATATTAATCGATTCTCGAAGTATCTCGTGTATCTTTATTTCTAGAAACTAACGCGAACGTCGAATGAATTTTAGTAGTAATGTATCTACGTCTGCAGACCGCGCATGCAACAATAAAAGAAGCGAACGCCATCATTGCTAAGCTGGAAGGTTCTCTGAAGGAGCATCGCATGTCCGCGGACAAAACGCAAAAAGAAATGAACAAGCTGATGGTGAAGAAGATGAACCTACAGACGGACTACGACAACGCGACCGTGCAGATCGAGAACTTGGACAAGGAAGTCGCCGAGAAGGACAAGCAGCTGAAAGAAACGAAACAGATGATAAACAGGTGAGTCGTAATTACAGATCGGAAAGTTCTCCGACGATCTAACACCAAGATCAATCTCGTTGCTCGTTAAAATCATTTCGAGAAAACATGAATTCTCTTAATTTTTCTTCTCTGCACTGAACTGCATTCTATAAACAGAAATCGCTAACAAGGACAATATTTCATTGAAACTCAGCACGGCTCGATGACATTTCTGTCAAACCATATTAGAAATGTTCGCGCAGTGTCAGGATATTACAAGGCAAAGGGTTAACATCGTTTTCCCTGAATTCTTTACGTGCCACAGGTCCTGCCGCGATTTCTTTCCGCGATCACGAAAGTAGGAAACGTTAAATCCGGTTTACGAGTGCTCCGGTGCGTCGGAGAGCCGGCGGCCATCGTAAATGCGTTCCATTAAATGGCGCTTAGACGCCGGCAGCGCGGGATTTTATGGCGGCCGGCGGACGACTCCGCAAATGGCGGCCGATCGGCTTTAATTAAGCATTCGTCCGCGGCGAGCGAAACAACGCGGCGCGAAGGCGTATATCAGCGCGCGGGGCCGGCGTTATTTCAATTTCCGCCGATAAAGTATCGTACGCGACGGGAATATAATCGATCGGACCGGCCGGAGTAACGCGAGAAACATTATTCCGCGCCGGGCACCGGTGAATTGCGCGCGGCGATCGCCGGCCCGGCCCCCGGCCGACCGACGAAATTTATTTTCCATTAAATTTTGCATTACAATGCGTCGATACCCGCGTCCCCGTATAATTGCTATGCAAATCGTCGTATATTTCTCCGGGGACAAGCTCGAGGAAATATGACCGGCCCGGCGAAACTTTCGCGGGTTATTTTTGCGGACGCGTTGACGAGGCGGATCCTATCCCGACCGCGCGGGAATATAGGCTAGAGCTTTTCCCCGCCGCGATAAAGAACGGCCGATGTTAATGGCGTTTCGTAAATCCTTCGGCGCACCGAGCGGCACCTTTAATCTTCGTCGGCGGCGGAGGACCGACGCGGGTCAATTGAGAATTAGGAAAGGGTGGTGCTCGTGAGAGTAAGCTCGTTCTTCTCTTTTAAACGTTTCCAGTTTCCCGGATCCCATCGGTTAATTAGCTTCTTCTGAATATTCAGTCGTATCGTTAGCTTCTACGTTCGAAACAAAGCTTATTACACGTTGATCCTTATAAAAAATTGTGTACAATGAACTAACCGAGTTACAACTAATACGTGAATACATAAATTCCTCTTTCAAATTCTGACCCAACCCTTCGCAGACAAGAATGTTCTAAACTTGGCAAACATTTTTCCTGAAAAAGCTGAGTTCCATCGAAGATACTAATCTCGCGATTCGAATAAGTAAATGATCGATTTGCCTTCGAATTCAGATATCAAAGTCGCTACGGCGATCGACCGCAGAGGGTCGAATCGCGTTAGACTTTCGGACTTCGCTCGAACTGGTCGTTTCCGAGCGATCAAGATCAGACTTATCCGGACCGCGATTGCAAATATTCCGGAATTCCCCGCGAAACCCAGTGAGTTCCAGCGAGGTCTCGTCGCAGATTGAAGGCGGAAGTGACGCGGAACAGAAGCGAGAAGGATTTGGCGGTGAAGCGTGCCCAGAAGTTCGAGAGCGAGCGGTCGAGCTTCGAGCAGCAGCTCCGGCAGGCGGTCGCGAGCACGCGGAACCGCGAGCACGAGCTGTTCACGCTGCGCAAGCAGCAGACGGACAAGCAGCAACAGGTCGAGGTCCTGCTGCGCGAGAAGAACATCCTGGCGCGGACCAAGGAGACCCTCGGCGATCACATCAAGAAGCAGGAGCACGAGATCACGGTCTGCGAGTACAGCAGGCGGAAGATCGAGTACGAGCTCGACAGCGTGACGCAGAACGTCGCCGCGGTGCAGAAACAAATGTCCGCGGTCGAGAAGGAGAGGGATAAAAATAATCTGATCGCACAGGACCTGGCGCAACAGGTAAGATTTCGACGTGGCTCTCGATTTTTAATCGACGGCTCGCCGCTCCGACGAGCCACGGGAATTGGGGCGAGGAGGAGCAATCTGATCCTTCGAACTATTTCGTGAATTACTCGACTGATTTCGATTCGCTGGGACTTGTATCGACTCTGGATTCGTTCGGTGTGTTGACAGTGTTATATAATGACGAGTGATGAAGATTTCGGGATTAGTTTGCTCTCATATAACGAAATTATAGTTTTACACGCGATATTAACCACTCGCGCTAGAAATAAATTCAGAAATTTGTCAAAGTCTCTGCAAATTCTTCTGCATCAATGATCAATCAAAGTCGATCAAATTATAATTCAAAGTAATCGAGTAACGCTCGTTGCAAAGAACGTCGCAAAACATCGCGAGGGAAATGAGAATACAGTCATCGGTCGATTCACAGACGCAGAAACTTGAAAACTGACCGATCGGATTAGCGTTCGCCAGAATCCTCGCGCGAGGCGTGTAACGGATTAACATTTGGAGCAGCGGTATCGATCGCGGGGCGAACGTATAAATGAGCAGTGAAATCTTAATGCACACTACCGCTGCTCTGTCGCTCCGTATGCAAACCGTGGCCTTAGGATAACGCCGCCGTCGCCGCGGAATCGGGAAGTGGTAACAGTCGGTGTGTACTCGGACATGAAGCACGTTACACTGACGGATTTACGGTCCGGCGTCCAGCAGGAAGCGAAGGTAAACGTAGGGTCAGTCGTTCATTTTAGGTTTGCTCGGGTCCAGACCCAACGTCACGGTGTCAGAAGATTTGCGACCGTGTCCGTCCCACGACTCGCAATTGAAACCTTTCTACGATCCTGCGGGGCTCCTGGTTTCCATTTTCGAGATGTAACTCGCTCCCGTGTCCGTACATCATCCACGGGGTTCCAGTTGATCTCGAAAAGTTTCACGAAGATACACCTCGCTATTCACACTCCTATTCTCTTCGCTTCGCTGCTCCCTTTGTTAATCCTCGAAATTTCATTGGGAAATCAAAACCTGAAACGTATTCGGAGAGGATTTCAGTTGATACGTAGGATAATTTGGTGTTTAGTTGGAATAATGATGAAACGAGGTAGAATATTATGGATAAAATGAATTTTTGTTGCATTCCCTTGAGGACTCTGTAATATTACGATATCTTTGAAATGCATTTGAGAAAATAGTTAGAGAGCGTGTAAACGATTCTTCTTACTAATAATATTGAAAGTAACGTAATATAATCTACTCGAAGAATATCTTGACGAAGAATCGCACCTTTGAAGGAAACTGATGTCGAGTCACTTGTGTTAATACTGGAGGACTATCAGTATTATCATCCAGAGTAGTATTTTACCAGAAGAAAATTGTCCACCGGACACTCGAGAATTTTCAACAGATCTTCACATGGTTCGAGGAATCCAAGGCAAAGTTCCCGGATAGCATTCGAAGCAGGAACTTGTAATCCCCGATGGCGTTTCGCGAAACTTCATCAAATCTCGACTGCGACAACGGGAACGTGTAATCGCGTCTATTTATTCCGCCAAGGGACCGCGCGACCCGTAATCTCCGCGTATGGAAATCGAACTCGGGGATTCGGCTGTTGCTTTTGCGGTCTGCTCGATCGAGACCGAGTGCTCCGTTGCGTTAACCCTTGGGGATCCTACATCCGGTCGGAATTGTAGTCGTGTTTCGAGTTCTTTGCATCAGACATCGATAAACTGAACTCAGAATACGATTGAATTGTTCGAAAAAGGTGAACGCGTCGAGTAAAATGCAATGGAGCGCGGTAGTACACGGTAGAACGTAGTGTAGAATAAAAGAACCGAATGTTCCGGTGACGTTGAACGTGTTAACAGGTTGAGAACTATCTGAGCGAGGTCAAGCTGAAGCAGGTCGAGATCTCGACGTACAAGAGACGCTTGGTGGAAGCGGAGACGAAGTACCGGCAGCAGCAAAACTTGTTCGAGTCGGTGCGGACGGAGAGGAACTCCCTAAACAAGAATCTAACGGAAGCACACGACGAGATACAGGAGTTGAAGAACAAGCTGAAGGTGCTCAGCCACCAGACCGAGCAGCTCAAGGAGGACATCGTGGCTAAGGAGGCCGGTTTGATCAAAGAAGAGTTCCGTAAGCGGTTTCTATTGTCACGCGTTTCACTGTCTGATAAATCGATGGGAGTTCGAATACGTTGATAGATCGATTGATCTGCAAACTGATGAATTCGAAGTAGACTAACCAAGCTTGCCGATTTCTGGGAAGTTCTCCGGATATACGGCCATTTTAGGTCTCAGTCACTGGCCATATATCCGGACGCTGGCGCAGGGATTGAAAGAGAATAACTGTTTGGAATCGTTATGTATCGGTTCCGACTGAAACAATTATGGCAGCGGTTTCGAACCTTTGTGCTATACCTCCTTAAGCAACAATACATAACATTTTCTAACTAGACAAAGACAAAGAAAGAATTCAAAGAGAAATCACAGGTAAATTGAGAAACAAAGCTTTTCCCAATATTTCGCGCACCGATTATTCATAGTTCAATATTAAATATTAAATTTTCTAATTCTACTGCGTCAAATCAACTGCTAACCGAGAGTCACCTCGAGTGCAAAGGGTTAAAAATTCCGGCGCCAGGTTGGAAACCGCGGAACTCCGTAGAACCGAGATAAAGTTCGGATTTCGGTTCCGGGCGACTGTTTCAAGGATCGAGACCGATACCGTAACGATTTCCAACCCCCGCGCTACCGTGCTTAGTCTGGAAGGCTGATCGGTGGTCCCGCAGTTCGCGGCAAGGTGGAGAAGGAGAAGGAGGGCCTGAAGGTGGAGCTGGAGGCCAGCCGCAAGGAGGTGTCCGAGCTGAGGCGCGAGATCGAGGAGATGCGGCAGGAGGAGAAGAGCCTGAGGCAGGTGATCCAGCGGGCGGAGGCGGACATCGGCCGCCACGTGAAGGACATCGACAACGTCATGAACGAGAGGGACATCCTGGGCACGCAGCTGGTCAGGAGGAACGACGAGCTCAGCCTGCAGTACAGCAGGATCAAGGTGTTGCACGGCACGCTGCAGCGCGGCGAGGTGCAGTACAATCAGAGGCTGGAGGACATCCGGCTGCTGAAGCTCGAGGTGCAGAACCTGAGGACCGAGAAGGCGCTGCTCGCTAAGAACATCGCGAACATGAGCGACCTGCGCCAGGAGGCGTTCCGATTGAACAGGGACCTCACCAGGGAGAGGCTGAAGGTGATGGCGCTCGAGGAGGAGGTCCAGACGCCGTTGAACATTCACAGGTGGAGGAAGCTCGAGGTGCTTTTTTGTTTAATATTTGTATGTTGGTTGTGGATGTTGATTATTGGAGTCTTTGAGTTCAGTTTCGTTTTTTTCTGGCTGTGAATATTTCTGTGATTGTGGATTTGAGGTTAGAGCTTGATTTTAAATTAGGTTTAGTACTTTTAGGATTCTAAATGCGAAGCTTTGTAGCTTCTGTGATCTGTTTTCTTCTGGCTGTGAACATTTCTGCGATAGTGGATTTGAGAAGTTTATGAGTTGGTAGCTTGTAGGAGTGTATGTACGAAAGTTTTGTAGGTTCTACGATTCTGAACGCAACTTCTGGAAATCTAAGTGCAACTTTACTGCTACTGTGATTCTAAGCGCAAGTTTACTACTTGTAGGATTCTGAGGACGAAAGCTTTGTAGTTTCTGTGATTCTAAGTGTAATAACTTGACAGCTTTTACGATTCTGAATACAAAACTACTACGATTTCTTTAGTACTACGATTCTGAATGTAGCATCCTTATTTTTAAACGATATTTCATCTAGGGATCCGATCCGGCTACGTACGAACTGGTGAGGAAAGTTCAGATCCTCCAGAAACGCGTGCTGAAGATGGCTTCCGAATTGATCGACAAGGAGAAGAAGATCAGGGATACAGAGAAATTGTACATGAATCTCCGTGAGATTCTGTCGAAGCATCCCGGGCCGCATGTGATGATCGCTTTGAACAAGACGCAGAAAGCGTTGCGGGAGAGGGGGCAGAAGACTAAGGTAACTGACTACCGCAGGGAGTCAATGACAACATGCATCACGCTTCATTAATATAAAATACTAATAGAATATTTCAAGCGACGCAAGAGATCACAAAGCATTACTAAAACCTATTACCGAAAATCCCCAAAAACCTTCAATCAGAAACTGAAATTCCACTTTCCTCGAACACTATCCGAAAACAGAATCAACAGAAAGCAAACTCCCACAAACATCCACAATCTATCCTCTCGACAAAGGTCCTCAGCATCGAAAACAAGGGAAAAACACAGGGGGTAGAGCAAAAAGCCTTGAAAATTCTATTCCTCCGAGTACACCGAAGTGGTTGAAAATTCGTCTCGCGTAGGGTTGAACCGCCCGCTGGGACTGCTAACTAGACAGCGCGAAGGCGGGCCGCACGTATCGTCCTTTTTTAAACATTCACGACCCGCGCCGGGACCCAGGGTCGGCCTGTATATTTCAATGTTAACGAAATTCCGCGATGCACGCGAGCCGCGATCAATGATTCAGCGATTCGATTTCTCAGTGTCTGCTGGCGGAGGTGAGCATGTACGAGCTGCAGATCGGGGAATACCGGCTCGGCATGGACAGGATGAACACGGAGCTGGCCGAGCTCAAGAAGAAATACTACGCGCAGAAGAGGCTGCTCCAGAAGACGAGGGAGTCGCGATCGAAATCGTTCGCCGGGCCCTCGCTGCCGGCCATCGGCCATGGCGCGAAGAGGTTCTGCGGTGGGGGCTACAAAATGGCCGCTCCGACGCCTAGGAACTGTTTCACCGCGGACGACGCTTGTAGATAACTCGATCTACCGCTGGAGATCGAGACGATCGCGAAACTTTACGCGATGTACGTATGCCTCGATTTTTCGAGGTATATTGACTAAAATCGCTGACTATAATGATATTGAACTGTACTTTGTCTTTCGAGTCAATCTGTCGAGTGAATACAGTTAATCGGTATAAGCTATGTATTACGGAAACTGAGGAAACGTTTGGAAACGTAGGAAATATATTGGTTTTGATCTATATCTATTTATTCTGGTATTCCTCACTTCTCGGTTCTGCGTTGCAATACCGTATAATTCTCCGTTATAACAATACTTCTTACAATAATTCTAGTTCCCTGTTCCTAATTGTATTCTTGAGACCTGACATTTCTATAAAGCGCAGTTTAGTGATCATTCTAACCGGCAGGAAACCGAGGAGCAGCAGTTAAGGGATCGATAGCGCGCCGAAATCGAGGACGATGTAGGTCGGAACCGTGCGCCGACAACAGTGATTCGGTATCAAATAGTTTTTCGTTCTCCTAACTGTTTCAGGGAGCGAAACCGATGTCATAACCGTTTTCCATTCCCGCCCGCTGGGATCCTCGGCGAAGGAAACTGGTACACGCTGTAACGAAAATACAACGGTGTGCTTTCCTGGATTTCTCTGTGTGCGCGCCGCCCTCCCGCCCCCGCCGCTCGAATCAATGTTTCCGCTCAGTCGTTCTTTTTTGCTCCCGGTGTTTGTAATGTCTGTCAATATTTGAGCCGAAGGGTTGGTCCGCCCCGCGAACGTGCCGCGCCGTTGATTCGCGGCTAACCTAGACGCGGGACGGATAATTTGTTTGACTTGCCGCCGCCGGTTTATTTTTTCTTTCTCCGTTTCTTTTTCTTTTGGCGGACCGCTCTGGGCTAAATGTCGAGTCGGCGAGATGATAGATGCTCTTCCCACGGAGTACGTGTTTACTCGTGAAGAATGCCGGACCAATTTGATCTTCAATCGTTTTCTATTGGCGACATTAGTCATTCTTGCAGATTTTCTACGCTGATTCCTCTCTAGACTTTTTGCAGCTTGTAGATCTAATGGAGTGCTCGATACATCTATGAGAAAATTAGTTTTTGATACTACCAGATGGGTCGAAATCATTCCTAGCGAAAAGATAACGGAAGCTTCTTTGGAAGATTAGTAGATCAACTGAAATTTCTATGCAAGAATTTGAATAAATCAATAGTCGGTTGTAGTGTCAAAGCTACTTGTTCAAGAAGTCATCCAAATTCGCGTCGGACCAATTTCCTGCAAGTAAAATCCGTTTCTCTATTTCTTCTTCTAAACGAGAAGTATGCAGAGTCATTGAAAAACCGCCATAATATCCCCATAACATAAACAAAACGTAACAAAAATACAATCGCAATATGTCTAGCGTTATACCTTACAACTTTTGTCCGAAGCTTTTGATTGTATCGCTCGTACCTCTTGAGTTATCGAATGTTCTCCATCAAACTGCCGATCGACTGCACCGCGCGCCATTGGAAACGATGCTTTAGGTTCCCGTTTGAGGGTGACTCGCGGTGTACACGGGTTCCTCTGCGATTCAAATAAATCCCAGACGTCGAAGGCTGCTTCCGGTCCGGCTGAAAAATGTGGAAATCGGAGTGAATATGGAAAAACCTCGCGTTTCCGGGCCCGAGGAGGGTTAAGGCCTGAGGTATCCGGCGGCGAGCAGCCTCGGATGAGAACTTCATGAATTCCGCCGGGCGGAATACATTAGAACCTGCCTCATTTGTTTAATGGAACCGAGCAATGCGTATGTGTCGGCAGCCGGCGCTTTATTCGGGACGGCACGACTCCGCTGGAATAAATTAGTTCGAACCCCGTTTCCATTATTTAACGCATTTTCCGCTGCTTTAAATTCCACTCTACAAGGGAGACCGCCTCGCGGACGAAAAGCATGCGCTCGATATTTCTTAAGGAAGTCTCGACGATACGGGCTGCGCTGTTCTGTTTAACATTGAAAATGTCCGTGGAAATACGCCGAGATTCTACGAAGTTCATCGGAATTCAGAGAACGATTCACTCGATTCATTCGGTTTAGTGTTTCTCGGCGTGAAATTTTACTGTATAGTAATATTCATTAGAATAATTCTAATTGTGTTTCTCTAATTGTGTTGTTGAAACCTGAGATTTCTATAAAGAGTCCAATAATGATTATAAAGCACAGAACAGAGAAATGGCAGTTTATAGACGTCTACTGTAAGATCGTTCTGCTCTTAGAAAAATTGACGTTCGTTCGTTTGGATCTTGGAAACGAAAGCTTCGAAAGCTTCGAAATTAGGATACTTACTATCACGCAAATACCCAGTGGTTATAAAATTCGATATCCACGAAATCGAAGCGTTCTGCGAATGCAACGTCAATTAACACCCGATTTAGAGCAACCATTGGTAACAGCATCATCTTCCTAAAAGACAAGAAGTTTCAAATGTAATTTCAGGTTAGCTCCATATTCTCGCGACACACGGATTAATGGAATTATCGAGTTCCCAAAAAGTTCACGCAGACCAGAGTTACAAGTGGAATTTTCTATCGATTATCCGTTACACGTTTCAGTATTTAACCGAGTTAATGGAATTTCCAAATCGCGACACACGCGAATCGAGTGTCGCTTTCCTTCGGAAGTTTATTTGAATCATCCGCGACGTGTTCGACGAGTATCGCCGGAATGATTACGATTAATTGATAACCGGTCTCGATTGATCGCGCCGCGAGCGTCGTTTCTTTCGGCGCTCGATCCCGCGGCTGTTTTCCGGCGCAATTTGCGGTTCGTCGCGCGCGCGAAGTAATGGCTGAAGTAATTGCGTGACCGCAGATGAACGCCGGCCTCCGTCGGCGCGGGAATCGATTGTCGTTCGAACAGACACCGAATTAATTGCGGTCGCTCGATCCCGCGCCGGGGGCCGGGACGCAAGAAGAGCAAAAGCGGAACGATCACGCGGACATCGGGGTGTCTTTATTGTCCGGCATAACTGGAGTTCCGAGCGGATCGAAGACATTTCCATCGTGACGGTTTTAGCTGTCGGCTTCCATCCCTTTGTCCGACACTGGATATTGTGCTTCGTCTTCGATCGTAATATTCGCAGAAGCGCGAATCACGTGGAATATCGAACACTGGGTCTACCGGAGAGTTGTTGTTTAATTAACACTAGGAAGTTTATTCTAAACTTTATTCTATCGTTTCTAGAAAACTACATGTTCTATAAATCGCGAAAATTGATCGCGATACTAAATAAATAATTAAAAAATGCAATATCCGTCAAATCGACGGGTTCCGTAAATCTATTGTTAAAAGGAGATCAAAAGGAGATGCATCTTTGATGCATTCTTCGACGTTTTTCACGCTAGATTTACCTGGCGCCCTCGTCCAAGTGGTCAGATCCGAAGAAGCACGCCTGATTGGCTGAGACGCTCACGTCCGCCAATCGAATCGCGCCAAGCGCCGTCTCCAGACTCGCAATTGGATTTCTCAGGCGACTGTCTCCGCCCCTATGACGTCACGAGTGCCAAGTTCCCAGCAACCAATGCTACTTTCGACAAAGCACACGCAACTCCAATTACCAACGTCCCCAAAACAGCTCTCAAACGCTGAAAAATCATTGCGGCAGCTTTATGTCTTTCATCGACGATAACGCGACAAAGTTTCTCAGTCGCGTTGATCGTCGCAATTACCCAACGTTCACCGTAACCGAGTCACGGCTTCGTGACCGTGTCTCGAAGGAACGCGGAGTCGTTTAGCCGTCGGAATTCGGGATTTCGGTACGTCGGGAACGGTGAATCATAGCTCGAGACCGGCCCGCGAAATTCCTGGCACGTCCTCGCCGCGCGTAACGGCGCGGAAACGCTCGCCAGCGGCACGTCCGCCCGGCAATTTATATTTCATAAACCGCGGGGAATTTGTTTGATCGCGTAAGCACGCGACGCCCGAGCACCGCGGAAACGTATCGCGAGCGTGATCCCGAATTTTTACCGGCTCTTCGCGCGCGCTCCGCGGGAAATTCGCGCCGCGGGCAGCGTACCAGCCCCCCGGAGACGCCTCGGAATTGAGAACTCTTCGAGGAACGAGGAATCTACCGCAGAACTGATGACCGCACGTTCGTTTCGGCGTATTTGCCGAGGAATTGCGAGAGTTCTGCTCTATTTATTCTACGTTTCGAGCGATCGCGGTGTAAGGATCGCTGTAGTTAACTCTAGATTTACGGACGTTCGTTCTACACTTTATTCTATCGTCGAAGAACCACCCAGCGTCTATACAAATCGCCGAAATTATAACTTGAAATATCTCTGAATAACATTTGTATCATTCAATATCCTCCCAATTCGCATTTTGAATGTTATGTAGTAACTTCAGAAGCGAAAATATTAATTTCCTGAATTTTTCTTATCCGCAGCTAACCGCATTGTCTTCCGAGCGACTCGTTTTTGTTCCGTGAGTAACATCGCAGTTTCCGATGAAAGTAACTGGACTGTACAGTAAACCGTTCCCTCTGTATTTTACCGTTTCCTGAAAGCTTCCATGGATTCCATAAATACATGAAGGTCCCAGTTTCGCGAATTCGAAACGACGCTATCGAATTCACCGTCAAAGAACGATCGCGTGAAGTTTCCCTCGCTGATTCAGCGGGAACTTCAGCCAAGCGGTGCGATTCTTGGAACGAATGTTACTTTTGTATTCCAAAGAGTTGAAGTTTTTCAGTCATTCCGTTCTGAATATCTATGAGATATCCCGTGTCCGGCGATATACGCCTTCATATGCCTTGGGAACAATAAAATAAGAAATCATTCTGTCCGGTTCGGTCGTGGAAGAAAATTTCAATCGGTCACCCATCACTCGGAAATATTCTTTCGAATCGATGTCCTAATTTCAGCCGGTAGACGAGCCTTCCAAGAACACGTGCATACTTGATTATGTCTTCGGAATATTTAGAGGTCCGCTCGTTACCCCGAAGAACGTGTCTTGTTAAATTTTAGCCAGCCCGGAAGG